TGAGGATTCCATATTCCTTGAAGGTTACGTATCCCTCGCTGTGGAATCCTTCAGGAGCAGTGTTTTCATTTGTATTCTGTTGCATGTCAATTTCCAACCACCCAAGGTTTCAGGTCCTTAGTGATTAGAGAGCCACCAGACTTTCTTTTTCGTTTTGAGTCAGCTCGTGTGGCACTGGAGGATCAGCACTGGACTGTGAACCACAAGGTCAGCAGTTCAAACACACCAGCTGCTCCTCAGAAACCCTACCCAAGGTCACTGTGAGTGGGAATCGACTCAGCGGCACTTTACAACAGCAACAACCTTCCCCAGACTTGGCCATTTCATATGATTACAAATGTATTAAATATAGTTGTTTATTAAATATGTACCAACATATTTACTGTTAAGTGCTGTTGAGTCGATTCCCACTCATAACCAACCAGGGAGAAGCTGGTGAGTTTGAACTGCCGACCTTGTGGTTCAATGGACCTTGCAGTTCAGTGTTTTAGCCCGAGTACCACACCAAGGCTCTATTTGAATATATAGTTGTTTATACTTCTCTGTAATCTCCATACTATGTTCTCCTCTTTAAGTACTAAATTATTTTTTCTCCTGCTTAATCAGCCATTACTAAAGTTTACCAAACTTATTCGACTTCAGAAGTCCCGGTGTGGTGCTGTGGGTTAATGTTCTGGACTGCAAAGTTGGTGTGAACTGCAAGGTCATCAGTTCAAGCTCACCAGTTGCTCCTCAGAAACCCAATACAGGGTCACTAGGAGTCAGAATCAACTCTACAGAAGTTAACTCTATAGAAGCAACAACAATTGGACTTCAAGGACTAACTTTTTAATTTTACGTTTCTATTAAGTCCTGGTGTGACAGTGTAGGTTAATGCGCCAGACTGCAAAGCTGTTTGAAATGTAAGGTTGGTGGTTTAAGCTCACCAGCTGCTCCTCAGAAACCCTCTGCAGGGTCACCATGGGCCAGAATCAACTCGACAACACTTCACAACAACACTGTCTCTTTATGTTCTGTGTCATGGAGTTCTGCTCATGTTTTGTTTGACTCCTTATGCGTCTTTCTTCCATTTCCTATCCTGTTACTCCTCACTTCTGGTGCTAAATGTTTTCCTCATGTATTAGTCTTCATTTTTAGTAAATCCATGAACGATAGTCATTCATTTCCTTCATGTAGCACCAGCCCAGCCCCCCCACAAGTACTTCTAAAAAGGTTGTCATTTCCATTCTGGTATTTCTTTAACCCAAGAATTCTCTAGAATGCATGTTTAAATGGGGACCTGTAAGAGGACCTGTGCCCACACCTGGTAAGTGTGATGGAGTGGAAAGGACACCAGCCTGGTCCTGGTGTTAGGTGTACAGGAACAGAGAGCGAACTTTAACAGTAAGCCCAGGCCCATTCACCACAGTGGGCATTAGTGAGGGCAGTGAGAACAAATGGCTAGTGGAATTAACAAAAGATGGGCTGGCAGGACCCCTGACAGTGAATTTAGAGAATCATGAATTTGGGGGAAATGTTCTGCATTGCATGTTTTTAGTCATGGTCTGCTTCTGTGTAGATAAGTTATATTTGATCAAAAATTTAATTTATGTTGAGAGTATTTGGACTTTCCCAATCCATGCAAATGAATCACCATACACACATACACATAACACACACATATGTGTACCTCTACACATACACACGTACACATACATCTACAATACACAAAACATACACACATATATACATGTAAACACACACACATGCATCTATACACATAAACACTACACACACACACAGCTCTTCCCTAGATGCATTTGGAGTGCCGTCCACCCTGAGGGGCTCATCTCCAGCACTATGTATGACACTCTTCTGTTGCTAGTCATAAGGTTTTCAGTGGTCAGACACTCAGAAGTAGTGTGCCGCGCCTTCTGCCTAGTCTGTTCTAGTCTGAAAGCTCCGCAAAAACTGGTCCACCTTGGGCAATCCTAGTGGTATTTAAAATACCAGAGGCCTAGATTGCAGCATCAAGCAACATGCAAACCACAAAGTAGAACAAGCTGACAGATGTGTGTGTGGTGGGCACATGCTTGTACATACAAACGCACTACACAGTCATCAGCCACCCCTATCCCACCCCTGGGATTCCAGGACCTATGGAACATCTGGCACTCTGCTGGACACTTGCACCCTGTTGGCTTCCACAGTGTCCACTGGTGACGTCATGGTCCAGCTCCAGCCCAGTGTTACAAAACAGGTAGGTTAGGCAACACTGGGTCTCTGTACCATTACCCAACTAGTATCGCCAAACCCAGCATCCTGCCATCGTCCAAGGGTTCAACTGTATCAGGACCCCAGATAGCCTCCTCACTGCCCACGTCTGATCCTGTCCCTGAACCATCAACGGTCCCCACTCCCCCACTACCGCCCACATGTTTTGACTCAAGGGGAATCCGGCATCTGGCCAGACCCCACCCACACCACAGAGATTCTCTCGGGACTCCCCAAGGAAGAACAAGGCTCCCCACTTCTATTCACTGGGAAGGGACCCAGTCAAGACCCCCTAGACACCAAGCCGGCACCTGGCTTATTCAAGGGGCCCCAACTCTTCTCCAGCAAGTGGGGTCACCTCCACCCCTTCTGGGGTCCCTTCCAGCACTTCTGGGTCCACTGCAGCTCTACTGAGGTGCCCTGGGACTTGGCGCCCCCTCGTCTGCCGCTGGGATGGCTGCACAAGGAAGACATCAGGGTGTTTGTCTGTCTCCATCTCGCCGGAGGAGACCGACTCCCTTGGGGCTCCCTCAAGGCTGCCCTCTCTGGCCCTGAGCTGCCGGACACTAGGTGGTCATGTCTGTGTTTCAGTATGATGCATCTCTTGCTGTCCAGTAAACAGCCTAGACCAACAACAATAAATGTCCCCATGGATTTGGAACACGAGGCTGCATGTGTGGGTTTCTCAGACCTCTCTGCACACTCACCTGAGGCAGGTCCCTGGTTGAGGCGTCAGAGCAGCTGGTGGCTGCTGTGGACAGTGGGGGCTGGGGACTAGAAATGGCCTCAAACTATTTGAGTGGGTGGGTTTACAGAGGAGCTTTCTGGAAACACCCCTCCTTACCCCAATAAATGCCCACCTGCCCCAAGGCCCAATAGGGCAAGTCCTGAAGGCAGTGTAGAGGCTAGGGTTTGGGATGAACCTGCCCCAAGAGAGTCGGACAAGGTCCCTTTAGGAGCCATGACATTTCTAAGGGGAGTTGGCATCACCCTGCCCCCCTCCTCTCACTCCTAAGACAAACCAAGCAAGCAGTAACCCTACTTTGGGTCCCTATGTTTGTTCTCCTGACTGAGCAGTGACCCCATTTGCCCCTTCTGCATTTCATATCCCCCACATTGTCACTGGACTGTAGCGAGCTGGCATTGGCTCCTTCCTCCTTGGTCCAGTGCCCCCCAAGATGACACCCTGAGCTCCTACCCCACCCACCACCTGCTCATCCCCTTCCCCTCCCTCTCTGGTTCCATCAGTTTCAGCTGCAGCTCCTGGAGATGCTGGTGGGACCCAGGGAACAGAGCAAAGATAGTAGGGGTCCTGCAGAGGCTGAGGGAGAGAGTCAGGAGCACTGCCAGGCACTGGTGGACCACGGGAGAAGGGTTCCAAGAGTGACTCGGCGGCCCACACTGAATGCTGACTGAGACTGCTCAGAACTCAGCTGCCACACGCTCTCCCAACAAAAATCCCAGCAGTGGCTTCCAGAAATCACAAATGACTTGGAAACTATGGGACTATGTTACGGACTGTACGCATCAAAGTAGTATCACCTGGGGTGGTGAGCAGATGCTATTGCTAAATGTCATCGAGCTGGTTCCAACTCATAGCGGACCTGTATACGATTTCTGAAGTTTGTGGGAGCAGAAAGCCTCCACTTCCTCCTACGGCTTGAACTGCTGACCTTGTGGTCAGTGTCCGGTGCTTATTGTACAGAGGAGCCACGGTGCTCCCTCGTCAGCAGTTCAATGCCCCTACAGATGTGTGTGTGGCACTTGATCGCAAGGTCAGCTTGAACCACAACATCAGGGGTTCAAACTCACCAGCTGCTCCCCAGAAACCCTACACAGGATCACTATGACGGCACATAACATCAACATAGATGAACCCACAAAATCTGCGAAGGTCCTGGGTCACATGACAAAGGAAAAGTCGTACAGCAGGTGGAATGCAGATTGCTAATCAGTTCAGGATGGGCACTGGACTGCTAGCCACAAGGATGGCGGTTCAAACCCACCTGTGGCTTTTTGGAAACCCTATACAGGGTTGTTATGAGTCAGAAGCGATTCGATGACATTTAACAAAAACAACAATCAGGTGATCATGGCTTCTGTTGGCACAGTGGTTAAAGTGCTCAGCTGCTAATAAAAAGGTCAGTAGTTCAAACCCACCGGTGGCAATCAGCTTCCTTAAAGATTTACAGTTTCTGAAACACTATGGGTTCACTAATGCTCTGTCCTACAGGGTGTATGGGAGCCGGAGTCCCCTCAATGACTGGGTAAGTTATTTAGTCATCAGATGATTTGGAGATAAAGGACAGCCACTGGATTCTGTGTATGGAAACAAAGTCATTGAAAAAACTAGTTGCCCCCCCAACTCCCACCCTCACCCCAGAAAAAGGGAAAGAGAAAAGTTGTGGCCATTGAGTCCTATAGACCAACATTGTCCTACGGCCCAGAGCAGAGCTACCTGACAGCGTCTCCAAGGCTGTCGTCCTTATACATGCAGACGACCACATCTTTCCCCATAGACAGTTACTGGCCTTGAACCAACAATCTTTTGCTTAGAAGTTAAGGGCTCAACCATTGCTCCACCAGGGATCCTTCAAAGTGGCAGGCAGGTCAGGGTGTCATGATGTCGGGGTGTCAGAAGGACTCAGCCTGAGGATGAAGGAGGAGATCTGGGTGTGTCCAGGAGTGGGAGAAGGTCTGAGTACAGGATGCCCCATGAAGCCTAAACGGAACACAGACCCGCTCACATCATGATTGTGTTCCCGAGAGATGCCCATTGGGGACTCTTGGTCTTCAGAAAATTAGACACCAGATGTGTATCGTTTAAACCCACAAGTTTGTGGCAAGCTGTTCCAGCCACGGTAGGAAATAAATACTTACTATCAGGTTTTACGAGATATTTATGTAGGTGTGATTAAGGGAAGCATGTTGGAGTTTGTAGTAGTTTCAGGTCTACAGACAAAACTAGAGCCGCATAGAGAGCCCCTTTCTGGTGGGTTTTAACTAGCATCTCCATTAAGGACTCAAGGAAACTGCACAACTTTGGACAGGCAGTAGGTCAGGGTGTGGAGGGTGGCTGACAGCTGGAGCCCATTTGTGGAGAGAAGAGTCCAGAGGACATCTCCCCTCCGCCATGCTACCCAGCCACCTCCCCACACAAGCCACAAGGAGTGCCCACTCACACCTCTGATTCCCTAGATCCACTAAGATTGGCAAAAACTTAAATCCAATACCCAGAAATTATCTTGAAATGTTTAATAGAAACAGTCTCATGAAGTCTTTTTAAAGCTAAGCAGCACTTAACTAGAGTTAATAAGGAAAGTTTGCCTTGAACATGAGTGGGTTGGTGTCTCATGGGAATCTCATGGGGTCAGCCCCATGGACAGGGCCAGACTGTGAATCCCACTCCCCATGGCTCCCCGCAGCTCCTCCCCTCTCCCACTGACTAAAGTGAGACCTTCCCCTCTCTCTCAGAGGTGGGTGATGGGAGCACAAGACAAACCCTAGTGCCATCTCTGCCTTGACCCCTCGCCCCAGCACCAGTATGACCAGGGGTCATTTCAATGTCCCCCACGCCCCATAGCCCTGCAGTCCCCTGACACTCTACCTAGCGTAGCCCTCTTGTAGCAATAGCCCCATCCATGGAAACTGACAAAAGACCTGCAAGGGACCCAGAGTCGTCCTGACCCGGGATCCAACACTACACAGGGGCAGAGTGAGAATGCCGGCCAGCCAATGGCTTGGACCTGCTCGTGCAGAAACTCAGGATGGACATATGCTTACTTGTGTCTATTACCATCAAAGAGAAATGAAATGTTCTCGAAAAAAAAATAGTGAAGTCCCCCAGCCACGCCCACACCCAAGTAAACACAGGTCACTTTCTGGTTTGCTTCTCTGATAGTTTAATGAGACAACATGGGAAGCCTCCATCCCTGATCCCACCCTCACAAAGCCCCCTCCATGCCTCTTCTCCCAGGTTGGGGGATGGAGGAGGACGAAGCAGAAATGTCAGCATAGGAAGAAGTTGGGTCTCTGGCTATTCATTGCTGCTTTTGGATTTGCTTCAGGATCCAGTCCACGTAAGTCTGGACCCGAGCGTAGACACCAATGGTGGGCTGAGAGTAAAAACCCCAACTGGTCACTCCCACCTGGACCCAGGTGTTTCTCTTCTTGCAGACCAAGGGGCCACCTGAGTCACCCTGTGCAGGAGGAAAAGAATCATCAGGACCCCGAGTCCCCAGGTCTACGTGGCTCAACCCCAGGGCAGAAAGGAGTCAGTGGGGAGGATCCCAGGTCTCACCACCCAGGTGCGCCGGCCATGACTGCCGGCACAAAGCATGTCACTCTGGATGAATTTGTGGTCCTGGCTGAGGGAATAGGTCTTGTGGATCAGCTGCTCACAGTTCTCGTTGCTTATTGGCGGGATGTGTGCCTCCTGCAGTCGGTAGGGCGGCGGCAGAGACTCTGGGGGACACAGCAGTGAGGGGCAGCAAACATGGGGAGCCCAGGTCAAACACCAGGGAGCATCACCAATTCTAAAGCCATGGACGCCTCCAGCCCAAAGTGGGTGGTTAAACTGAGCGAGTGGGGCAGGGTTCCCTCACACACTCAGGGACAATGTGTGGCACTGACAAGGACAGCTGGGGAGCAGACAGGGGCAGGATGCCTTCTCTGACCCTGGAACCCATCAAGCTGAGTCTGCTGCTGGCCCATTTCCTTCTCCAGAACCAGGAGGAAATGGGCTGCTGGGAGAATATGTATGATGGCACGTTATGAATTCTACTTTGCACCCACATGCACACTCATACTCATGCCAGCCCACCCAAGCCCTGCACCCCCACTAACCCAGAGACACTCAAAAGGGTGCCAAGAATGGACTGTCCTACACCTCCCCATCGGCCCTCACCAAATATGCCAATTCGGCCCCAGCCAGTGGTCCAGCAGGTATCATTTTCAGACAGCTCCAGGGACTCCTGCGGCAGGCTGACCCATCTGGTGTTGGTAGAGGCCCTCACAGGGGTGACCAGCTTCAGCAAGGCGACGTCTGCCCCCAAATAATAGACGGTATAGTCAGGGTGCACAATCACACGGCTCACATTCAACAGTGCCTTGTCCGGGTAGAGGAACACGTTCCCAGCATGGATCCGGAAGGCCGATGGGTCAGCATCTTTCCTGGGGAGGAAAGTCTGGACATCTCAGTGTGGGGTGGCATGGGGCAGGGACAAGGGGACCAAGTCTGAAAGGGACACTGATCCCATCCCACCCCTCACAATGATCCCTTTCCACACCACTCAGCCTAACCCCTTCCTGTCTGACCTGCCCAATCAAAGCTCCCTGAGAAGTGGAGTAAGGGTCCCAAAGACCCTGACTCACCGATGGATGCAGTGGGCGGCCGTCAGCACCCACTGGGGATGGATGAGGGAGCCCCCACAGATGTGCACCCAGGAGGCAGCATAGTAGCTGTAGACTCGAAGGCTGACCTGCCAGGGCCACCTCCCCGGGGCAGCACTGTGGCCCCCGATGACACCCACTAGGTCATTCTCGGGCACAGGTGCTGGGAGGCAAGAAGAAGGATTCAGAGAGTCCACCCTGGCTCCCCAGGACTCCGGGCAGTCACCTGTCCACCTGAGTCTGGTGCCTAAGGTGCCAGAAGGCTCTGTGGCAGGGCTGTGTGGGGTCAAGACTCACCTGGGGTTCCAGCAAGGGTGCCCCCCAAGCAAGAGAGACTCAGCACCAGCAGCCACAGCATCTGCAGGGAGAAGGTGGGATCAGGAATTGGGCTGGGGGTCAGGGCAGGAAGGACGGGCCAAGCAGAGCCCATGTGGACATGCCCTTACCTTGAAGGACTCTGTGGCTCTCCCCTAGGTCCCTGGGCCCTTTATCCTGGAGCTACAGGATGTGGGCAGTGGGGGGAGGTGGTGCATGCAATAGCGGTCCTAAGGCCCTAGCCGCATGTCCCACCCTGCTCTCCTGTGCCTCTCTGCCAATGTCATCCCCTATAAAATTCCTAGAATCCAAGGTCACCACATTTCCCATCCAGCTCCTGATTCCTGACCTCTGCCGGGCTCTGGGGTCACCCAGGACCCTGAAGAGTGCGTTGAGTTGTGTGCGAGGAAATGGAGCATGTGGTAGAGTCCTGTGGAGAGCCTTGTGGTGGTTCCCAAGAAAGCAGAGCATAGACCTACCAGGAGACCCAGCTCTTTCAACTTGTTGATATGCACCCAAGGGGGTTGGAAGCGGGGACCCCCAGAGAGATGGCTTTACCAGCGTTTACCTCAGCACTGTTCACAGTCACCAAAATGTGGACACCCTCACAATGTGAGATCCACAGAATGGAATATTACTCAACCATAAAAAAGAAATAACCCAAGTGTCCATCAACAGAGGATGGATAGAAACAATACAACGGTCCATCCATGCAATGGAGTATTGCTCGACCATAAGAAAGAAATAGACAAGCGTCCATCAACAGATGATAGATAGACACAACGTGGTCCTTCCTCCTGATGGAACATTACTCAGCCATAAAGAGAAATGACCTCTACAATGTGGATGAGCCGAGAAGACAGGATGCTGAATGAAAGAAGTCAGACACAGAAGTACCAACATTACCCTCATCGTGGTCGTGATGTACCGTGGAATCGGTTCCAACTCATGGCGACCCTGTACAGGGTTTCCAAGGCTGTAAATCTTTACAGGAAAGCCTCATCTTTCTCCAGCGGAACAGCTGGTAGTTTCAAACTACAGACCTTAAGGTTCACAGCCTGATTTGTAAGCACTACACTACCAGAGCTCCTTGCTTCTATGCAATGTCTGCAACAGGCAAATTCATAGAGACCAAAGGAGAGTAGAGGTTGGAAGTGCGAAGGGAAGGAGGAAGGGGCTATTGCCCGAGGGGTACAGAATTGCTGTTTGGTGGAGTGAAAGAGTTCTGAACCTAGATAGTGGTGATGGTCATACAGTGTGATGAAAGTACTTTAAAAAGGTTAAAGTGGTCTCTTTTAAGTCATGTCTATTTTACCACAACAAAAAGGAACAGCGATAGTACATTAAACACAGCCGCCCTAGCCCAGTCTCTGTGTAGAGAGGGGGCCAGGAACAGGTGTTTGAGCATTGTTGGTACTGAACCTGGTGCCCACAGAGCAGAGCTGGTCACCCGGTGTGTCCTCCAAGGTGCTGCACAAACACACTAACACTGGTGTGGGCATGGTACAGATGGGGAAGGAGAGACACCGCTGCTCATGCCGCTGACATGGAATGAAAAGGCTGTCATGGTCCCATGGCCTCCAACTGGATATGTGTGACCGCAGACCCACACCAGTGTGGCTCCTGGAGACCCGGCTGGGGACCTCGAGACATAGTGGGTACAGTGGTGGCCAGGCCCAGCCAAAGTTAGTGCCTTGTGGGAGGTTGGGGACAGGGCAGAGGACTGGTGACCAGAAAGGGCTGGGGGGTGGGTGATCACAGGAGGAGATGGAGGGATAGATGAAGGCTGAGACAAAGAAGTAGACAGCAACTGAGAGATACAGAGACAGAGAGACACAGATACAGAGACAGAGAGACTGGACAGGGAGACACAGAGAGATACAGAGACAGAGACAGAAAGACTAGACAGGGAGACACAGAGGGAGAGAGACAGAGAGACTGGACAGGGAGAGACACAGAACAGCAGAGACAGAACAGAAGAGCAGTGTGTGTGTGTAGCTGTGACCCTCCCATTAGCAGGAAGAGTCTACATGTCCCCATGGCACACAGCCTGAGCTCAGTCATACTTGCCGATGGTCCCATCATTGGAAGCTGGGGTGCAGCTAGACCTCAGAAAGAAACGCTACCCTCTGCCTGTCCCAGGTGGTCAACAAGTGCCCTGTGAAGGTCTCCAAGTTCCAGTCCCCCATATGCCAGAGCCCTGAGTGCATGCCCATACCCCACCAGCCAGCTCAGAGAGGGGTTCAGGGCACAGAGCTGCAGAGCTGAGTACCCTACCACTCACAGTCCCTCCCCTGCCTGGGGGGGCTCCATGTCCAAGCCCTCAGGTAAGTCTTGACCTGTTCTAATGCCTACTGCATCCCTATCTAGAAAGCTGCCCTGGAGGGGGACAAGGACCTCAGCTGAGGATGGCCAGTCTCCCTCCTGAGGCAGAGAAAGCACTGAACTGGGCAGGGACACTTACATCTCCCCAGCACCCAGCTGAAGACTGAACTCATGGACCCTGGCAGGTCCATCTGTGGCTCTATGACACACAAAGTGACCAGTGGGACTGGATGTGGGGCCTCCATCATCCACAGGCAGTGGTGTCTAGTGTGGCCCACTGCTCTGAACCATGAGAGACCCCCTCCCTTACCCTGCCACATGCTTTGGTAGCAACATCTGCAAGGTATGATGGGTGTTGTAGCAGTTTGTTGGGCCAGGTGTTTGCCTTCCTGTGTCCAGGGGAACTCAACCTCCTGGAGTCTCAGAGAAGGGACGCACTGGGCTCCACCTCCAGCTGCTGTGCTGACCTGGGATCTGCCTCCACCTCTGAGAAGTTCCTGGTCTACGGGATGCCTCCTGGAATATCTAGACCCTTGGCACATTCAGGTCCAGTAGGGACAGAAGAAATCCATGAATACTGACCATCTGCCAAATGTGACTGAGGCCACCCACCACCCCAAGTACATCCCAGAGTGTACAGAAGGTGGGGGTGACGTAGCACTCCTCAGCTGGTACCCTGTCACCCTCCTCCACCTGGACTCTGGAACCCCTCATACATGAGGTACTGGGAGGCCAGCTGGGTAATATGAGATGCAATGGTGAGGACAAGAAGGACAGGGGTCAGTGGGAAGGGAAGAACCGTGGAGGGGACACAGTGGACAGTTGGCACAGTGTTATCTCAAGGCCTCCACCCGGATCCTTCTTAGTGAGTCCAAGATCAATTCTATTGTAACAATACATTATTACTATATAATACAATCATTTATTCATAAGATGGATTCATTTATGTTGTCAATCAAAATGTTTTAAATCTATAACGAAAAAATTACTCTAATATTTTACAAAAATCTAGTTGGGTGGAGGGGTGAGTACACGGATGGATTCAGTGCTTATTTCACAAGTTGAGAAATCACAGATTATTGGGAAACATAAAAGTCAGATTACATTGAGTCAGAGAAAGAGTCAGCAAAGGAAATCAATATCTTGGTTGGTGTGACGGTTACCTTTAGAAATAGCACTAGGAAAGAGAGAAGAAAGACCAACCCCAACCCCAAATTAACAGTCTCGATGGTATCAAAATGAGAGATTTGGAGGGAAGAAGGGGCAAGTGATGTTCTTATCTTACTGAGATGTTACACAGACATCACCTCTTGGCGGGAAGAAAGGAAGATAAGGAAGCGTATCAATAGTTCACGTACATAAAATAATAACTAAGGCGGCAGATTGGCCTGAGTGCATCAGTTATCCTAACAAAAACAAAAGGAGCAGAATCACCAGTTAAAAGACAATTATTAAAAGTGGAAATGAAAACAAAGAGTCTGGATAGATACTGTTTACCACAGAGAAGCAAAAATGAAAAGTAAACAGATTTTTTAAAATGTTATAGGTAAGTACTACTTTAAAAATAGCACAATTCATTAAAATGTATTTGGAGAAATTAAACTTCATCAAAATTAACACCTCACGTTCTACAAAAGGCATTCTTAAGAAAATGAAAAATCAAGCCACAGACAGGGAGAAGGTATTTGAGAAAAACGAAGTACCTGTATCCAGAATATATAAAGAACACTCAGAACTCCATTGGACTGAGAAAACAGCAGTCTAAGGGTTTTTTTTAAGTTCAAAACATTTAAACCAATACAAATTGTGTGGATGTCCACTAAGAACTTGAAAAAAATCGCACACAATACCACAAAGGAAAAAGAAGACAAGGAGGGGGAAATAAGTTAAAAGCATGTTTGACATCATTAGTCACTTGGAAACTGCAAATTAAAACCAAAACCAACTCATGAGAAAGGCATGTTACAGAGCGGTCAGGATGAAGCCTATACCACAGCAGTGCAATGAAACTCAGGACCACATGAAAATCTATATGCAAATGTTGATGTTTCACTTTATACATAATCTCTAAAAAGCTAAAGTAACACAAGCGTCTTTCAACTAGAAAATTCAAAGTGAAAAGGGGGAAAACAGGTAAACAAGCAGGAGTGTATCATCCAATGCAAAGAAATGAGCCTTCAACACAGGCACCACCGTGAGTGAGTGTTATGTGTGTTCCGTTAAGTGAAAAGCCCAGACCCCTTAGTACACATACTATATGACTCCATGTGTGTGGCATCAGGAAGAGGTCGAATGGAGGGCAGAAAACAGATCACCTGTGCCAAAGGCTTAGCGAGGGAGGACTAAGGGGTGTGGTCACATCTCTACTGTAAATGGTCCGTGTCCACTCCAACCCTAGGGCCCTGCCTCTGAATTTGCAGGGGAAGCACTTGTTCTGATTTCCCAGTAGCGATCCCGTGGGGGTTAAGAAAGCCCCACCTCAGTTTCTCTCTTGATCCTAGTGCTCATGACATCAGCCTCGAGGTTAGCCACTCGAGAGCAAAGAAAGAATACACAGAGTCAGTTGTGTGCAACTTCAAGGCACAGGGGGTAAGGCTGAGGCTTACTGTGTGGTTCCAGAACCCAAAATCTGGGACTCCCCATTGCTGGCTCAGCCTCTGAACTCCTGATTCAGGGATACTGCCAAGGGTCACTGACTGACCAGAGTGATGGAGAAGGGACTCAACCCCCCAAAATAACCCCCAAAGCTGCTCCCCCAGCTTCTCCCACTGCTCCCATCCTGCAGAAGGTAAACATCCCCATCGTGAGTCTCAGGTGTACCGGCGACAATTCAGCAAGGACAGCATGGTCATCAACATCAAGAGGACGTGAAGTGTGCTGGGACCACGGAACAAAACACCTGCCATGTGAGACCTCAAGTCCCAGCCTCTGTCCATGTCCTCAGCTTGCTCCAAACCCTCAGAGGTGCTGGGATTTACCTTCTGTCTCTTCCTTCCCCAGGGTGATTTTGGAAGTCGCCTGTTTGTCACTTGAATGGTCAATGGCTCCAGGTAAGGGTCATGAGTTGGAGTGAAATGCGATCTATGGGACTCCCTGGTATCTACACCTGAATGACATGCTGTCTGCCCTGGATCTACTGCCATGACCCTTCATCTCCATAAGCCCCAGGCAGGGACGAGGACAGTGCCAACACAAGTAGACACTCCAGTATCTTTGGAGCCCCCCCATGGTCCCTCTCCAATATCAACCCTTTACTAAGCCCAACACCCTCCTCTATCCTGATTGAGACCCCCAGCCCCTGCCACCCCCTCAGAGTCCTGTCCCTTACCTGACAGCTGAGAGGGACAGCAGGAATGTCTGATGACCTCCCAGAGTGGATGGGAGGTCTCCCTGGAGCTCAGCCTCCTCCCACTCTCTTTCTCAATAAACAATATGAGCATCAAGCTCTGATTGCCCTCACCTGTGGGCTTGGCCAAGGGCGGAAGTGGGAGGGCCCAGGTAATGGAAAATGGAGAGACAGTGGTTGTTCTGTGCCGTGGAGTCGCTTCTGACCCATAGCGACGCTGTACAGGGTTTCCGAGGCTGTAAATCTTTATGGGAGCAGAAAGCCTCATCTTTCTCCCGTGGAACAGCTGGTAGTTTCAAACTGCTGACCTTGCGGTTCACAGCCCGATTCGTAATCACTATGCTACCAGAAGGTAAGGAGGAAGGTACTGAGGTTGGGGAGGAGCAGTTTCTTGCCAGGGGTCAGAATATGAAGTAGGGGGTTCTTTCAGGAATGTTGAGTTTGGGTCCTTTCTATCGGTCCCTCCCTCCGTCATCACATCTGAAACAATTTCAGTCTCTTCTTTTATATACTCGCTCTATGTTTGGGAGACAGATACCTGAGCACATAATTCAAAGATCACGTTAAGTGAGGATCCCAGTGACCAGAATGGACAGGGGAAAGCAGAACGCTGCCCTCTTCTTCTCATCCTGCTCTCTATGACCAGTACATCTGGCCCTCACCCCAATGAAGGCAACATCTGGTCAGAAGGAAGTCCATCTCATTTACTGATGAAAAGTCCTTCTGATTCAATTTCTAAGTTCAGTCTCTCATTCCGTTTAGAGCTTATCCTAACCCAGGTCCAGCCAGAAAGGGGCTGTGGGTGGGTCCAACCTCTCATCTTCAATTTCCATAGCCTGCAACTTTCTCCTGCTCCCGATGCCTCGGTAGCTGTAGGTGGCCAGGGAGGAGACATGAAGGGACAGGAGCTCTTCCTGATTGTGGCCTCTCTCAGCAGAGTTGGCGCCCTCTGCTGGAGGAGGACCATGCTGCATATCCCTCCCTTGGGGCCCTCCATCCTCTGTGAAGCTCTACTATGGTGTTTGGGGGCTGAGATGAGGCTGCATGTTGTTACCTGGCCTACGGGAGGGCCTATTCCCATTCACACTAGAGATCCAGTTCTGGGGGATTCTGAGGCGTGAGAGGTTAGTGTGAAGCCCCCTCCCCCTCGGAGGACAGGGTAGACCTGTGTCTTGGGAATAGGATGCCTGTGGATGGCCAATGCCAGGCTTGGAGTTGGAGGTTCTATAGCAGAAGCCTTGACTTCAAGTGGGGTCAGGAAGGATGGGGGCCCTGGGAGCTAACGCAGCCCTGCACTGGGGGTGTGGGGACCAAGACCTCCAAGACAAGCCCATTCCTGGAGTCTTATTTCTGATACAGGGGCCAGCCTCTGTAGAAAAACTCTCCCTGTGACCTGGCCCCCACCTCCTGAGGCCCAAAGTGGGCAATATCCCCATCCTTACCATGCTCTGTCTCCCCAAACCCACCTCCTGACCAATTCGCCCTGCATCCTTGGGGCTTTGTCCCCAGAAGCATCTTGGAGGGAGGGATCTGGACTCTGTGAGCACTGGGTTCCCTTACCCTTATCCTGGCCAGAACCACCCCTGAGCTTGGCCGTGCAGCACCCTTGGTTAGATCCAGACACTTGGGTTTGAGAGTGAAGATGTCTTTATTAAGGGCAGGGAATCACTTGTTTCTCCTCATCTCCTTTTGGGACACTGAGCCTGGGTGGGGCAGAGAAGGCCACTGATGAGACTGAGTCTTGTTTTGTTCCCAAACAGGGTCCCCCTGGGCCAAGATCGGGGCTCACTAAGATGTGGAAATGGGGGGGATCCATGAACATTGCTTTTTCCCCTTCCCAGGTTCAGCAAGAGCCTGCCTGCCATCCTCCATGAGTTAGAGACCAGGTTCTGTCTGAGGCCACTTTCTGCCCTCCAGAGAGGAGCACCCCGTCATTGTCGGACAGGACCTTTGTGTTTGGTCCCTGTGGACCCCTAGGGTTCCCTCCCTGAGTGGTGGAATTTGTGGTTGCTAGATGCCAATGCGTCTGCTCTGACTGATAACGACCTTATGCACTGCAGAATGAAACACTGCCCGGTCCTATGCCACCCTCACACCATAGCCATGTGTAGGCCCAGTGCTGCAACAACTGTGTCAGTCAGTAGCCTTGAGAGTCTTTCTCTTTGGGGGAGAGACAGTCTCACAGGCCAAGTGTACGGACTGTGG